CCTTTAACAACTGTACAAATTGTAACAAAAGCAAAATCATCATCGTTGCTTTCAATACGTTCCTTAAAGCCTTTACTATCCAGGGTTAGAAGTGATTTAAGATGCATTTGCGACATTGCCCTTACGCCGTTTTTAGTAGGGAGAGCTTTATTATCAACCTCGACGGGTACTGGGAAACTTTTAATTAATTTGCCAATTTTGTTAAGAGCTTTTTTCCTTGGAGGAATTTATTAAAATCTAATGAAATCTGAGGCATCTTAAAATTTAGATCGCCTTCTAAACTCATTTCGCGGTAGCCATGCCAGCAAATTTTCATCTGAGCGTTATTTAATTATTAAGTTAAGTATTCAGTTGTGTTTGAGCTGTATGACTTTTGCTCCATTAATTGTTAGCTTTAGTTGGAAATGTACACCTGATGTTCTATAAATTTTTGCTTTCCTTCAGCCAAATCGTTCTAGACGCAATAATTCTGTTGACGCTTTCAATTTTTTGATAGAATCGTCGGAAATTAAAGGTTTCTCACTAACTTACCCAAATATTACTTGTCGCTGACGAGCGAGACGACCGAAAAAGTCTCAAACCAGAGGGAAGAAGCAGTCATTTAAGGAACGATCCTCGAGCTGAGGAGGAAGATTGAAAGCCCAGGAATATTGCTGGGATACGATCTTACAAGTTACGGCAGGCAATCCACAGTCGAGAAGCTGGAAGGATAGAACTCGACCCCGTCGAAAACCCTGCCTAATAAAGGAGTGATATAAAAGAAGGCAAAAACCAGCGAAGCAGGAGAGGAAAAAGTGATCTCCGATCGTCGTTTCATCGTTTGTATTCTAATTGTTACCAGTTTTTCCTTATTACTTACGCATTTTATGGTCATGCTTATTCTTGTTCACGGTTTAATTACCCAAGTTTGAGGTTGTATTGTGTTACTCAATAAATGAGTATTGATCCTGAAGACCCGCGTGGCTGTGCAACAAACTCACAAGGAACTATAACTTTGGGGAATTACAAGCCGACGTTTCCTACGAGAAAGAAAACG